TAAGGCTACTTAAATAAACACTGTTTGATTTGATCAGGCAAAATTATTAAGCTAATCAGTAAAGTCTAAGCAACAATTGTCATGAATAAAGGAAAGTTATCGGGAAATGCTATGATGGGAAACTCGCAATCTATCACCACTTCGATCTGACTCAAGTACCAGACCCGGTGAGTATTCATGTTACAGGTTAAGCAACCTTTAGTGTCAGTCCCGTGACCGCTGACCTGTAAGAAGTATTGAACCACTAGTGCGATTGGTAATGAAAAGCAGAATAAAATGGTTTAAAAACAAAAATCAAGTAACTTTTAAAATGATTCTCAACAGTTAATGGGCCAGTATCATCAGTCTGTGCATGTTGTCACAAATAATCAAATTTTCATCCAACTGAAGTAGGCGCTCACTCAGAAATCTAATGAATGAAGTTGAGAAGTTAACCTTTGTGACATTTACCCAGTACAATGTGAATTTTACAGGGATAATATGGTAAAAGGGGATTCATTGCGGTTACGAAATGATAAATCAATCTCACATTATAACCTAGTATAGAAGATGTAGAATATTAATAAGGACAACTTACTGATCATTCAACAGTTATTAATAAGTAATTTGATACACAACTCGCCTCCTTCCAAAAGGCGATTTCTGTAAATCGAATTACCAATGATCATCTCATCTCTTCTTTGTCGTTTTACGTAGCTCTGAAGTTCTAATTGTATGCACCACACTGATTTTGCACGATGGTACATGAAACCGCTTCAAGATGTTCGGGCGTGATGTCTGACTGATTTCTCTTGACTTCAAGCGGAGTCTTTTCAAATACTTCAATGCTTTACGTTTAGCGTCAGCCACTGAATCTGTAGCTCAAAATCCAGCAAATATTCTCTCGCGGCAACACTTTTACAGCATCAATTCTTCGTGGATATTTCAGCACTAGGTACTCATTGTTCGAGTGAAAATAAAATTTCATAACTGTTATTAGCAAATGGCAACGCAACACTTAACGATTCGCAATTAATAAAATGCTTGCTGGATAACACGTGACCCTGTGTAAGTACTCAATTTTTCTTTCACCATGAAACAGAACTCGTAAGTCTTCTATCTCGGATTCGCAAACCCCACTGGAGATATTGAAACACCATAGTTATTTATATTTCAGAGTAACCATTACGTTTGATGTACTATAATTAATTCACTTCGTCTTTTACTTAATATTTTATACTTTGGGTGTTTCACAGAATTTAAAGCTTAAAATGATTAATAACTAAATTAATCTTCTAAGAATCAAGTTCCGTTGCCATGTTTTAAGAGTATGAATAAAGAGTAATCAATCAATCAAGTTTGGTTACCTTGCGTTTTTTTCCAGTCTGTGTAGACTGTAAAAAAGACGGCAGTCGAATTTTTTTGAGTATTTCTCAATTAACTCAATATTTAATCGTTAGTTTTGTGGGAAACGTCATCGCATGCATGCACGCCAAGATTGGGAGGTGCGACCGTACAAACAGTGACCAATCATTAACCTCTTTTTGTTTAACCTAATCCGCCATCCTGATCATGATTAAGCTTCCTGCGTGTACACTTTATCCTCAATATACTTACTGAATAAACGTGCTCCGTGCTACACGTCTGTTTCCTTTCATAGATGGACTATAGCTTAGCTGGGTCTATCTAGCTAGAGGTTGGAGAATCTGCCATAGAGATTTCTGATTCCTAGCTAGATGTTGGAGAATCTGCCATAGAAATTTCTGAGCCGGTAGCTAGATGTTTGAGAATCTGCCATGGAGATTTCTGAGTCGGTCTAGATGTAGGAGAATCTGCCAAAGAGATTTCTGAGTCAGTAGGAGGATCTGCCATAGAGATTTCTGAGTCAGTCAGGCTATACTAAGGTAGCAATCCGCTACAGTTTGTAAAGAGTTGACCGAATACTAATTTACTTTATCACATTTACCGCATGTTGATCACGCTATGTGCCAATAACATCGCGTGATAGTCACCGTCCCCAGATGGAAATGCAATCGTGCAAGCTTAGAATCAAAACAATTTACTGCATTTATTTAAATTTGTTCACAACGTTATGGCTTCCACTTACTGCTCATTTGCATTTAAGGCCACATTAATTGAATCCGTTGTCACGAGAATAATTTTTGCATAGACATCGAATTTGCACATCCGAAAGCTTTGCCCTATCCTAAGATGAAATCAATCAACAAAACTATCGGCCTTTCTGCAGATCTTTTCAAAAACGTGAGCAATTGTTTTAATGTGTAAAAGAGTTACGTGTAGCCCGTTATGGTTATGCCCAGCCAGTGATGTGTCAATAACGTGGAAATCGGCATTGCCTTTCCAGTGCGGAACAAAACATTGTCGTGCATTAAGGAGGTGAAACAAGACTGACTGACTGTAAAAAAGTGCGCTTGAAAATTGGCCAAGAAACGATATTTTGAAGTGGGTTGAAATACCAAACCATTCCAGAGAAAGAAACAGTTGTGTTATCACACTAGCGATAGGGTCTCCAAGACGTGCAAAATTTCACCAAAATCGTGTACTGAATTTTGTGAAAAAGCGTTTTTGTTACCTTATTGAACAAAACGTATGAGTTTTAATATTTGTCTAATCCCTTTCTTCGTAGCATTTATTCCTATTGATTTTCCGGGTAAAAGATTGGTTAGAAATTCCTCCATCTTAATCTTAATTATTCAATTTGCTTTACATTTGCAGTTACAAAATTTTAGGAAAAGCGTAAACTGCAATATTAGTTTTAAAAAGTGGCTCAAACAACATGTGGCGTTCAGACATGTAAGACAAATGGCTCTAGTTCTACTCAATAAATTTCTGCTTTTTAGCAATCAATGCTATCTCCAGGTTTTCCGTTCCATTTTGCGTATTTTTTTCAAATATATAATATAGACCATTTTGAGTAAACGCAGATAAATGAACTTTGTGGGGTTAATAAATCGTCTGACTATCAAAGCTTAAAAACCCCCGAGGTTAAAAGATATTCAACCAATCAGTAAAGTGGCAGCGGCTGACCTAATAGTGAACACAGTTCCCTGTTTATGTAAAGTTATTAATTTCAACAAGTAAGTTAAGAAGAATGATTTTTTATTAGTCGCTTGATATTTTTTAGATTACACGCTTTAGTTTTCTCTTTTTCTCCAAATTTTTTACATTCGTGCTTGCATACTAGCCTCATTGATTATATAATTTAATACAGTTCAAAACAATTTATTTGGCACTTAATGAAGCTAATGGAGAAAATTAATTTAATACAAGCGATTGGTACAGAATAAATAATCAGATGCATTAATCTCTAGCTATGCTATTTTCGAGTAATTTTTCACCCTATTTACATTAGCGCCACGCTGATCAATATTATGAGGGATAATTTGCCTTCTCTGTCAATTGGAAAGAAGATGGATTGAAGTAGCAAGACTGACTCTTCATCCCCCCCCCCTCTGATTATAAAGTAATGAGATAAAAAGGAAATGAAAAGTTTGTAAAGTGTTAAAACTAGAGATCGGGTTGTTTAAATTAATTCATGCTATATGCCGGAATACAGTGATGACCTGTTCTTTCGGTGTCGTATGTTTGTACGCCTCGCAATAGTACTCTTTGTGATGGTTCCTTGCCTTACCAACGTTTGCTGGGTAGAAATATTTGAGGTAATTACAGAAACAGATAGAATGGTAAAATCAGCCTGGTGAGACACCTCACCACTTTAAACAAAACAGTTTGTGGTTATCAATGCGACAATAAGACAGAAGGAATAGAGGAGGGTTGTGTACACTGAAGTGGGTTTCTAATCGATCAACACCAGCCAGGTATACACTTCGCTTGACTAAAGGCTCTTTAATTTGATTAATTACTTGCTTCGTCATTTTCCCACCCTTATGTTGTTTATCGTTAATTGAAATCTCCTTCCCCAAATTAAATCTCGGTTCTGCACCACGGTAGTCATTTTCCTAAAAGAACAGAACACTTGTAGTGCTACGAGTTCGACTCCCCATCTTCCCCGTTCATGGCAACCTTTATTGAACGGCTTATTTTGTTCAGATAATTTTCATTTATTAATTAAATGTTAGTTTTGCTCTACCAAGGATAAAATTGCCTAAATTTTTTAAAAGGAATCCTTGTAATGCACTCTTCAGGCCATGCAATATAATTGAACAGTCAGGATAATTACGACTCAATTTAGAGCTGATTATCTGTCAACTCTCGTGTTAGAAGGCGAAATGGCGATGTCATTTATTCGTTTTTAAAGCTGTAGGAAGGAAATACTTTGGTTATTTTCAAATAAGGGTCGGCAGTCGAACGCGTCTTTGCTCCCCAAATTTTGATTTAACTTACAGAGTACAACTGACGAATCGAGGGAGTTTGTTAGTTAGTTATTCTTAAACTAGACATGAATCACCTCCCCTCCCCATCATATATCTAACAGAATTCGTACTCACGTATTAGGAGAAATTATGCTGAACACTTAAAGTGAATTGATTGGTTAGCAAAAAGTCTATTCGTTCACTTAGAAGGTTAAAAAAGTTAATTCCAAAATGACAACGATCTGAATGTCTTCATTTTCCTCGTCCAATAGATCTCTATAGCACAAAAGGCAATTAACAGCAAAAGTGGCGAATTCTTTGCGTGATTTTAGTTGAAACTACTGAAAATATCAAAAAATGCACACCTAAAGAGGAGTAACAGAAAGTGCCCCGAACCTAAATGCCACTCGATCAGGCAAATTTATATTTCAGTAATTAATTACTAATCTAAATTTAGTTTCCAAATTCCTTTTTCACCAAATTCCATTCCTACAGTTGGCCTATACATTTAGCCAAGTGGAGAATAAAATATTTCCTCAGTTAGTTTGAGCACGAGAACATGGAAGAAATTATATCATTCCAATAGCATTACAATATTATAGCAAAGAAAGCAAATCATTAATTAATCAGTTTTGTTTTTCGCTCAATTGTCACACTGTAAATACGCACTTATTGGTGTGTGAAAGTCTATTTTACTTCATTAATTTTTATAACTGGTATTGGTTGAACATTTGGTTCCTTGGTTTGTTGCTCTGGTTGCGGCTCTTGTTGTGGCTGTGCCTGAGACTGATCCACATGAGAAATATCAGTCTGGGTTTGGTCAACTTCAACTTCCACATCATCGTTTTCCCGTTGAGAAGTATCGTTCTTCAGTGAACTGCTGTCTTCGTCTTCTTCTGCCACGGCAGGAAGACCAGCGTCGCTAGGTATTGGCACTTGAGGCTGAATTATGGACGCTTGGCTTCCATGCGGAATCGAGGTGTGATCATTTTGGAAATGTTGTTGGTCCGCATTTTCGCAGAGTTTGAATCGCGAGCCTAGTGCTTCTAATGGAACGTCCAAGTCATCCGATTCCGTAGACTGGAAGAAACTAAGTGTTAATTGTTTCAAGTAGATTACGGCAAACAGAATTAAGTGTCTCTTGTTACCATACGATTACTAGCCATACTGGCGGCGTTTGTAGACTTCTCATGAGATTCGCATACACTAAAATGCAAAAAATGGTTTTTAAAAACACGCAGAGTTGCAACATCTACCAAATGGGTTATTCATCTACTCATAATGGTTTTAAAGATTTATTGAGTTAAAATTAATTAAAAAAAATAGGAATTCAAATGTTCACAATTTGACAGCACATTTATTGGATAGAACAGTGCATCAATAAACTTCTAGTTAAAACATAAACAACATTTTATAAGGAGCTTAATCATATATTTCCATCGTTTTTGGAATCTTATAACTGCACAATTTTCTCTTTTCAAACAAAGGTAGAAAAAATGCTGTAGCATATATGGGAAGCCTTGTCAATTCGGATTGGCAATTTCGATTAATCGAATTGCCAATGATCGATTTGCGTAGTCCTGGAGTTCTAGTGTTTCTGCTACACTTAAATTGCACTGATTCGGGTATGATGTTTGCTCGATGTTTAGTTGAGAGAAAAGATGTCTATTTGATTTCATGTACTTCTAAGCAAAAATGTCCTGAACTGCATGGGTGATTCCCGGAAAATTAAGCAAATGTGTATATTTGTGTTTGGCGTCAGCTAATGAACCTGTAGATTCAAAAACAACAATCATTCTCTCGAAAACACTTTTGCAGTTGCAATTGTGGGCGGATATTTCGCGCCCAATATTTCATTCAACGTTATAAACCACTTACATCCCACGCAAATTTCGCCACTGAACACTCTTTGTTCGAGTGAAAACTGCTTCCACAACTGTTATTAACAAATGGTAAATGCAACACTAGGTAATTCACAGTTAATAAAAATGGTTGTTGGACATCACGTGACCCCGTGCAAGTACTCACTTTTTCTTTCACCATGAAACAGTCCATGTAAGTCTTTTATCGTTGCAACACTGAATAATACCTCGGAATTATGCTTTTCGCTTTCATCGCCATGACGAGATTAACTATAGTCTAGTGAATGGATGAAACATAGAGGTAGATTAGTAAGGTTTGTATCATTGCAAACACCATAAAAGAGTCGGGCTTTGTAAAGGAATGCTCGCTAGTATTTCGAATTTAAAAAAAGCCCAAAGTCACTCCTTTCAGTCATAGTGTGGCTTTTGAGTTAACGCTCTGTGTTGCTAGTTTAGACAATACAAATTTAGTACTCAATAAAACGGTATCAGTCTATTGTTAACTGTCTCTGCACACAACTTTGTGCAATAACCCACCATGAAACAATAAACAATTTGTTAAATACTTTTTTTAATCAATTAAAGGCACATCGCTTACGAAATTGTGAAGGAGAAGAATCTCAATTTTAAGAAATTGAAAAAAGAGTTACTTTTTACTTTTACAATCTAATGTGTGCAATTTTTTTGGTATAAATAAAAGGGCAGAAAATTAATCAAATTTCAATTGACAAATAATTTAAACAAATGCTTGGAAGAGATATTGACCATGTCGTTTTAAGTTTGACAAATCAAATCACACTGGAAGTGTGATAAGAAATTTGGCCATTTATATTAACCTGACCTTCAGTCACGCATTTTTTTGAGGAGAAACGAAAATTCCGAACAGTTAATTAATATCTATGTAAAATGGGAAAATGCAATAATTTACATAAAGAAATACATAAATCATAAATTTTAGATGACTTAGAATCAGGGAAACCTGTCCGGAAACTTGAACTATAATGAAAAGTGTAACCATAGTGAATTCGAATATTTTATTAACTAAGGTCAAATCCGTTAAACTTAAGTCTGAAATTTTATGTTTGTAAAAGAGTTTTAGATTTACGCCAAATCTCTACTCAAGTCCCACTCCAGGATTTATCAATTTTGTTTCGATTTCAACCAAACTTTGTTTCTTTCTCACCCAATAGAATCTCAATTTGGATAATTGGGAGAACTGCGGACCACATACGAAGGGTCATGGCTCTGTTCAAGCACCACAGCCTCAATTCTTCCCAAAAGGACACAGAAGCAATAAACCTTACTTAACCTCTTTTTTACTCACCGATAAGACGTCACAACTCAGTTCCCCTTTTCTCTATTCCTTCTCTTTCCCATTTCCACTCCATTGCAATTATCCAGTGCTTGCGTTCCAACGCAGATCAGGGTCCTATGATTTTTTGCCTGTTGCCTTATTCAAGTAACCCAAAGGTCATTTGATTATTAACCTGATTGCTCCTGTATGACTTGGTTGGATTCTTAAAGAAGGTTATCCATTTTGGATTATTACTACTCTGGGCTAAAAACCAACTGTTTTTTTACTCTGTCCTACGTTGGACTGTCCTAAACTAGAATACCCCTTTATTGCAAGAGATAAATCATTCCCGCATTTAGATGCTTCCATGATAATATATTGAGCAAAACGTTTTGTTTCGTGACTGCAGCCATTCCAAAACGGGCAATTCTATTCAAATACATCCATAAAAAATGTACACCTGCCTTAAATTTATTGGAAAATTAATTCTATCTCAAACAGCAAATGAAAACAAACAAACAAACAATTTAAGAAGATCAATTAGTTTTGACAAATTCTCATTATCGTGGACTTAAACATAGTCACAAATAGCAGCGATCAAGTAGCAATATTTACGCAATTGCTCCCTGACAATTTCTACTGCTAGGAGTTTATGTAGCGCCAGAGTTAATGCGATAGTTGTGGTGCAACTTACTTGATGTTAAACACTGATCCAATCATTTGTGTTGATTGAAGTTTCTTTGAATCCGATGTATGTGGAAGGCTGATATTAGCAGAGTTCCAGAATTTGTCCTTCACGAGTTCCGTGGGTTGGTGCCTCTTATCGACCATGTGCATTCCGTACTGTTTCAAAATAAATGAAGATCACTCATTAGGGTGAAGGTACATTAGTTCTATTTAAAATAACACAATACCACATTTCCGTTGATCAGCACGGACTTTTAAAAAAAGCATACTAACTCTCTATACTAGTAAGTTTACTTAAGTTTTCGTATTATTAAAGGAGAAAATAATGTATAATTTATAAAGAAGGAATTGTTTCTTTCTCCAGATTATGTTGGTCTCGTTTCATTGAATTGTTACTTGAATTGTGAAAGTATTATATTACTATATTATTATACCATTTTGTAATTGTTGAAAGCAGGTGAAATTTGTTAACAGAAAATCCTATAAACGATAAGTTGATCAAAGGCCTGTTGGGAGATTGTGGTTGTAGGGCATTTACTAAATATGTAATCAATGTATCAAATTCAGATTTCATGTTAAATCTACTGCATTGTACCAAATCCTTGTCTACCATATTCAGCGTCTTAATTGGTTAGTATTTAATTAAGAAGGGACTGACTGATAATTTTCAGTCTTTTTAATAAATAAATGTGTTCTCCCATGAATCGTAATACCAGCGATTCGTTCAAGTAGAATTTAAGATACACCTATTTCGTCGACGTTATGTTGTGTTGCCTACGGCAGGTTGACTATGATGCATGATCTCCGTTGGATACAATTAATTCCACATAATACATGGACCTCTTTTGAGGTTAACACATTTGCTTATTTTAATCAGATTTACCACTTTCAGTTTTTTATTTAGTACCACTTCTATGGGCTTTCTCCATATTAATAATCACATCTTACTTAATGCAATTCTTGGTTTTAGGACGCAATTAGGCTCAAAATTTACTGATCAAACTAGAGCAGTATATATGGAAATAAATCAAAGCTATGGTACTGTATGTAATAAGAATGCTCCAACTGACTTTCAACTTAGATTCATCCTGGACCTTATCTCCAATTCATCTACTTGAACGTAAAGTAGATAATATTTTGAATCACAACCAGAACTATGGTTCTGTCTGCTCTCGTTACCTATATCAATTAAAATATCTTACAAACCAGTGTATAATATGAATGTTGAATTGTGAGTGGCTATTCTTGTAAGAAACTCGCATTCAGCCAATCTCTTAACAAAATTGGCAGTGAGGTTCACCACCCACATCACCGCTTTTTGACCATGACCTCTATTCACATGGATACCAACTTAGCAGACGTCACTTTAATCACTTGTTAAATATATCAATTGCAGCTATCCATATTAACGACTGAAAAAATATATACAAATCCCACAACCCTGTACACTTAGGCGTTCAAATTAAAACCGTCCTGGCATAACTAGGCTCCATTTCGTACATTTAGTTTCATTTGCAGGGGGTAACGTGATTATCGGCAGAAACAGAAGTCGAGGTTTCAATGCTCTTCGATGTGCAATCAGTGGGAGGAATGTGAAGTGGTTACGATTAAGCTTGGCTAATAATAGGGTTAGAAAATGTCGTTTTGTTTTCAGAGAGACTTAGTAATGTCACCACCACCTCCGCCTACCGCTTACAATATGCTATTTAGAGTGCATGAATCATTGCATAGAGATCATCACTTGGCGAATCACTGATGACTAATTCTTAATGAAGAACATGAGCGCTTGCAATAACTCTCAAACAGTAGGTAAAAAAGTGAAAATGGGAAAGAAACTTGAACAGGAAGGACTGTGCCATTCTTGCGGCATAATCTAATCTACTGGTTGACGACGCGGTCACCTGGTGTATTAAATCGCTACATCTGCAATTTCCGCTGCTGTTGTTATGTTTCTAGAATAGCCACTTTTCATTAAAAGAAGATAAACAAGAGGTAGTTAGTTGAAACAATGGAAACATGTCTCACTATCCAACTCCATTGAAAACAAGTAACGTACACTCCAATTGCTGTCAATTATTGCATTGATGTCGAAGTCCTCGTCATCTTCACCCATTGGATTGACAAGTGTTTCTGCAACCTAAATACAGTGAAAGAGTGGGTAATAATTCATTTAATAATAAATGTTAGGAATTAGAAAGAGCAATTTTCAATGCACAGGAAATTGGTTTTGAGTTTAAAAGATTTTGCCGGTTAAAATGCTGTGAATCCCAGTTTACACCAACTGCACACAGAAATATATTTTCCAACAAAGATGTAATTAAAGTGCATATATCCTGATCTACCTGAAATAGTTGGTAACAAATGCAATTGGCTTGAAAATTCTTTTGAGGTTATTTGATACCTAAAAGAATGTCTAGCTATGCCTATACGCTTGACAACTCAGTGATAATGAGATGATTACCCAACTGCATTGTCCCAGTGAAGTTAATTAACAATGCCAATAGTTTTTTTCGGTCAAAAGGGAGGATGCTAAAAAGCAAATTTCTTTAGAAAGAAGGTTCAACGACTACTTCTCCTTCGCAAATTAAGTATTATGAATACATCCAACAATGATATGGAGAATCGAGAGATAAAATAAATGTCATCATCGACTTAAACTGGTATCGCTAAAGGGAGGTAATAATGAGAGGGTTCAAGTATCTAGTTAGTTCAAGATGTTAGGTGGCCATTGGGTCTTAAATCCGCTGTGGTTCCACCTTATTTTTTCCACTATCTTCCAAAAGTAGTCCAGGGGTTTATAAGATACTTTCTATAGCCTACCTCTCAATAGACGTATTGATTATTACTTTTTCGAAAGTCTCAACCAAAGCATCAACATCGGAATTGAAGAAAAAAGTCACGTAACCAAGGAACCAGCTCGTTTTTAAACAACAATGAGTGGCATATCAATCGCAAACCAAATTTTTATATCTTAACCTAAGTAGGCAAAATAGTTCATACTAGGTGGTCAATAATTAGAACGTAGGGTCAGAAATTTGCCTTCTCTTCAGTTCGCTCGCCATCTGTTCTAAAACAAATGCTTGCTGTGGCAAAAGGGAGGGAGGCCTCATTTTGATCAGCACATGCATGCACATCTTTTTGAACCTTACCGCTTGGCCCCAAAAAATATGCATTTGAGGTTTAGATTGACGTAATGCTTTGACAGTGTCTGCGTTAAAACTCAATTCTTTAGTCAAAAGTCCTTTATTAATCGTCAGTAAATATCAACTTGATTGCCATTTAGTTACGGAAGTGCTCGATCTTAAAAAAGCTGAATAATTGCCGACAAATCCTTTGATCTCTTTTTTGCTTCAAATAAGCTAGAATTGGCTTTGAAACTTATCCAAACTAGATTGCGAAAAATTTGTTTCTAGGAGTGAATTATGTCAAATATTAAACATGTCTATTAACCAATTCATTTACAGACTAATTTGCCCAATCAAATATCACCCACGGAGATAAGCAAAAGACAGCCGTTTAAATTCAATTAATTTTGTAATAACTAATATAGATTGTTTTTTGTGATTTGGATCATAGAAGTGTTAGTCTGACACGCTTTTCGTTGTTCGAATTCTTGTCAAAAGAATGTTTCACGGTTGGACAACTTCACATTAATGTACAAATCGATCCGAAGGTTCTTAAAAACAAATCATCCACAAAGTACACAGTTTCTTTCATGAGTCATGTTTTGCGAATCTACAACACAGTATTTTACTCTAACGGATTGTAATTTACAATTAATTTGGGATTTTAAATGAGTAGATTACCGAGAGCTTATCTTGACCACGCAAAGAATGTGATAATTGAAGTATCTCAATTGAAGTGTAAGGAGCAAAGCATGTATAGTTAATTCGTACTTTTCAATTTTCAATGAAATAATATTGGCTAAAGTTAAGTAACAGAAGTAGACGAAAATTAAAGAGAATTAGACTTACTTTAAGCCACCCCATGTAGACAATGAATTCCAAGATTGTATAAAGGGGGATGTAGTAGTCTTTTCGGAAAGGTTTAGAATTAACTGAATTAGTCACGATGAATTGACGACCAATTATAGCTGACACAAAGTAGGAGTAAACAGCTAAGGTAACGACCTAAAATATTTAGAGAAAATTAATTTCTGAGGATTAAAAATGATACCTATTCTCCAGGAAAATATGTCAAACAAATTTACAGCTATTGACTATTTAATTTTGATTGACGAACAGGAGCACAATAATTGTTCATGATTTTTTAAGTGATGCAATATTTTTCAAGTGCTTAAATTAAGAAACGCAATGTTAATTCATTTATAAATCTCCGAAATTCTCGAATTTGTGGAAAATTAAACCTTTTTTTACATTTTGGTGGAATGAATCTCCTACTAATTTAACTTAAAAATATAACAAAATTAGTGATAAATTATTGGAAGAGATTAACAACGCTTTATCAATTTTTGGAGTTTTCCTTTATTTTACTTCAGAAATTCTTTAATCGAAATTATATTTGAAGAAAATTATGTGTTTACAAATAGTGGAAGCATAAAAAACACAAACATTTGTAATCATTTTATCAGAAAAAAACTTCTCGCTCATGTGGCTAGTCTTGTGGTGACAAATACTGTTCCTTACTGCTTTTTACCTGGTTGTTTTACTCTGGGGTATTTGCAAAAATGCAAAACGTTCCTCTCTTGGTCGTTAAATTAAACGCTACTCCCGCAACCAATAAGAGAATGCCTTAGAGCCTTCAGTAATTATGAAAAAAAATTGCATATTGTAAAATCTGCGTTTGTATTACTAGCGTAAATGATCAACTTATTGAAGTAATCTGCTCAATCGACATCTACGAAACAGATCTTATTCCACGCCGATTTTTGCTGTCTATGTCCAGTTGATCGCCATGCTTCACCTCTATTGTGGCTACCCTAATGAAAGCTTCTTAAAATTCCTTTTTGTAAATAAAATGGTAAATGCTACATTTATGCCATGGTATATTTTTATACGAGACTAACAGTTTACATAATTTGATTATCTATTCTGTCTGGTTTAAAGTACCGGGAAAAGTAGTAATTTTTCTTTTGAAACCCGATCCGCAAATGTTGTTATGTCTAGAATATCTCGTTAACGTTTTCAAATCCCCTAATTAACATTCAAGATATCAGTGTAACGTTTTATTTGTATGGGGAGTAAGTCCCTCTATCTCCCTTCTAATTTAAACTAAAAAAACGTTTTTTGGGTGGAAAATGACATGAATATCATTTTACTCCATTCACCTGCCAATATAAAAAAACATTTGCCTTTAAAACTTCCCTCTAATGATTTTGTTAAATTTGACATTGAAAACTTTTATATTCCAATGATTTCAAAAATCGATTTGTTAAAAATACTTTCTCACTAACAGTACTCATTTCATTCAATGGTGAACGTAAAATATTTTCTTCCTAGTAATTTTTAATTGAGCGATTTAATTTACTGACTTAGTAATCTTTTTTTCATATATCAAGTAGTTCTTGCCTGTGTGTAAACCAACGGTACGCAAACTTTGTCCATGAGGAAGAGGCGCAACAGAGATTCACGAAAACTGTTGATGACCTAAAGTGCAATAAAATTTCAATATTAATATTATTCTAGATATTAAAAATACGAAAATTTTGACTATTAAAGATGACGAGCTTATGTGTTTGAACTAAATTTAAATTCTGCAATAAATGGAAAATTGCTTGAATTTCAATTTTATTTATTTATCGTCACTTGTCAAATTTTATGGTACAATACCTATTACTTATGAAACAATATTTCTTTAAATATCGGGTTCATATTTTATTATTCGAATGTCTTATTTAGTGAAGTGGGCGCCATTTTCAACATTCAATATACAATACTGTGTCGTGCTTATCCATTTTTCTTAGGATTTAGGGGTGTAAAATGTCATTTGCCACATTTTATGTGTTGCAGTAGACAATCTCCAACACTAACAAAGGTCTTTATTGACCGAATAAATATTTCCAAGCAAAAGTTTTGGAAAATAACATCTTAGTTTTGTTGGAAAAACAGCAATTTTGAAGCAAATTGGCTGTGGTGATTCACCTGTTCTGATCTTTTAGTTATGACTATGTTATTATTTTAAGGTAAAATTTCACATGGTAGGTTATTTACGCCAAGCTTAATTATCAATGTTATATGATATTATTACTGAGGATAATTTACATAAATTAATTGGACAATTCATTTCATCAAGCCTCTAAAATTATTACACGGATCGTCAATTTCGTCAAAATCGATTGATTTCAAGGCCCTAATTACTCAAACTAAATACCAGATTAAAGAATAGGGGGTTTGAGATGCATTACGGATCTAATAATAGGTTTTTTCTTAGAGGAAAATTTGGTTTGAGAGTCATTTTTAATCGATTTTAGATACTAAAAAACCGTACACAAAGAAAACAAATGTTTTGTGCCAATTACGCAACGGTAAATTACATTAAGATTATTAATATGGGCAAAAAGGCTTTAATCCTTATTAATTTAAACTCATACAATTTAATTTAATAATGTGCTTTAATATTCCAAGGTGCACATTACAAGTATAAATATAATAGTTGCTTGTAGGCAAGGGTGGGGCCGGGGTGGGGTGGGGGATAATAGTTGCAGCCTAATAGCCAGGTACCTTAAATTTGAATTGACAGTCACGCATTCTGAACTTATTTTATTCAATTTCAAAACTAAATACTTGTTGGCGTAATAGGTTATACTGGTGTACTTTCTGCTAATTCTTTTTATAAGAATATTATTGTGACTCATAAAAAGGATAAGTTTAGCCAATTTTATTCTGGGAAGCAATTACAGTCAGTTAACAGTAATAAACTAATAAAGCAAATGAACACAAGAAGTCAAGAATAAAAAGTATAAAGTGGTTCAAGTTGTCAATTATTTACTAAATTTCTTAATTGTTATCACCAAAGTCCAATGCCTATTGACCTGGTTTCATTCATAATGATCGTTTTTGTCATGTCATTTATTTTTTTTCCATCAGTGATTGGAAAGTCCAGATGAGTCTAAATTGCAATCGACGGCTTGCATCCTTAACAACTTACAACTTTGCATCTAAACTATCAAATGTTTTCAACAAATTTAAAATCCTTTATTTAGCAACCTAATGACAACGTGAGAATAATCAAAACAGAAGATTTATTGAGTCTTTTTTCTTTTAAATTTAAATTTCAAAACTATGGAGTGCCTTGTTGCATTTCAATAGAATTTTAAATCTTCAAACGAACTGAATGCAATTTTATTTTCTTCAGCAATCGATATGCACTCTGATTCCAAATTCAGCTTCATGTTTTAAAACTGCTATTGATAATTGCACAAACTATTTTCATTATCATTAATAAAATGTTATAACAATTAGAGTCAGCGCCAAAATTTATTGTCGAAAAATTTTTAGTAGTCACTTAAATTATTTAAATTGCCAATTAAAAGGTTGGTGTTTATACCTTGTTTAAAAATATATATCATGTCCAGGAATTTTTAAGTTGCGACAATTCTGAATATCTTTCAGTTGTACTAATTATACGATTAATACCTTTCTTGAAATCAGAACAACAATTCTTTTAGTAAATTTTCTTAAAACGGCAATAGTTATCAACTAAAATTGGAATATTTACGCTTCAAAGACATTTTAGAAATATAAATGACATATAATTAAAACAAAATATTTTAATGAGTCTTTATACATGGTAAAATGAAAATTCAACGCTAACGATGTAGGTCATTAGCCAGAATCCTGCTTAGTAAATAGCAAAGTTATAAAAATTAATGGTAACTTGAAATAATATATAAAAATGTGTTTGGATTGTGGGTACTTTTATATGCGATCACTTCCTCTGATAACGTGTCAACTTTAATTTCCCACCGTTGACCCTAAATTGCTCTCTTTAAGGTATTCCAAATGAGACGAACCACTAATTTCTTAGTTCAGCGCTACTTTGCCAAATACGCGTTTTAGGAGGCAAAAAAGTCAACAAGAGAAGCGCATTTCATGGGAAAGAGAAAACGAGCATGAAAATGTTTCTAAAAGTTAAATCCATCACAACTCTTTGAAATTTAAATTCACCGACTCATAGCCAAAGTTCTGTATTAATTTCGTATTCGGGAAATATATTGGCAAATAAACACTTGGGATCATATTCTAATTTTAAGTAAACGTGAAACTTTTGAAAGTTAGTTTAATCTAATTATTTATATACACTTCGAGAATCAATGGGTAATTGACTTAAAATGAAAATAATAGGTGTGCATGTCTTTGATTAGCAAATAAATTAGAGTCTAAATATTACTTGCTATTATATCTACGTGTTTTAGTGGGGTTCACACAGAGGTAGTCCTAATGAACGCTGCGAGATTAAAGTTCCCTTGCAATCCCCATCTGCAAGTCTGCACACTTATTAAAATTATTCAAATGACAATTCAGTTATACCACTTAGACCAATCGACCCAAATATTTATTTATTTATATCAAATGGCAGGCATTATGATAGTTATCATTAGCCCTTTCGCTGACTTCAGGCTTCACAGATGGGAAGGAACATCAAAGTGAAAAAAGTCTTGGTGGGGG